ATATATATATGTATGTATATATATGAATATATATATATATATAATATATATATATATATAATATATTTTTAGAGCAATGAGAATTTCTCTACCTCTCTTTGTGTCTTTGTCTGCTATCCTAGAGCATAGGATAGAATCTCTTCTTTATTCTTTTACATGTCTGTTACAGCTAATGAAAAATATGTTCTGTATTTTTTTTTTAAAAAAAATAAGATAATATTGTGATAGCATAGATATGGAAAATTATACTGATGGGTTTTTTTTTTTGAAGTTACATTAATTCTCCTGCTTACTTGCCAGATTTTAAGCTTTGTAAATGTCCCCAATTTACATAAAATATTCAGGGGAAACAAACTATTATTACCATGATTATTTTCTCCCTAAAGCTGAGCTTCAAATTTGAAATTCATTAAATGGTTGTACGTACTATTATCATTTGTGTGCAATGCATTTTTTATTGTTAGCCCTGGTTCAGAAATAAGCTTATGCAAGGAACATAAATTTCCTGAATGTAATTAAAGTATATTGATTACTTATTAACTATTTGAAACTCTAATTCATGTGCTATTTGATATTCCATTTTACCACAATATATCAGTTTCTTTCAAACCGAATGTAGGAACTGAGTGTCATAAAAGAAGAAATATTTTTCAGTAGCTAGAAGAATTCAGGGTTTTCAGAAATTATCAGACTTCTGGGGGTGGGGTGGGGATGCTAGACTGTTTATTGTAGTGTAATGGCTATTCAATAATTCCTCTCCAGATAAGGAGAAAAATTGAGATTACCTATAAGCAGGGGTGGGCTGTTGGGGGTTTACACGGGTTTGGGCTATCTTCTAGCTAGGATTCTGGCCAGTTTAGCGCACCCCCAAATGCCACTCCTGGCTTGCCACGCCCACCCTTCCCACCCCTTCCAGGAGTCTCCATGTGGCCCATTCATCATGCCAGGTAAGTGCAGGGCCTGCATGGAGGCTTGGGGGGGGGGGAGAAACAGGCCTACTGGAAGTTCTGGAGGGCCTCCGGAGCCCAGGGGAAGCAATTTTCATCCTCCCAGAGGCTCGAGAAAAGCCTCTGGAGCCTGGGGAGGGTGAAAAATGCCCCCACCCTCCGTGGTGCAGGAGGCCGACTAGGCCACGCCCACCATGGCCACATCCAATCAGCAGTGGGACAACGAACCCGTTGCTCCAATTTTAGAAACCTACCTTTGCCTATAAGCACTATAAGCACAGTTGCTCTTGGGAGTGTTGAGAGATCTAGGAGATGAGGGAATAACCATCATGCTCAAACTGCAGTTGGCTGCTCTGACAGGACACTACATTTGCATATTCTCTTTTCTAAACATTTTTTCCTAAATTGCTTGTTGACTTCTTTTCAACTGTTAGGAACCCAAACTTTCATGGGTTTGCCTTCTATCTAGAACTATTTTGGCCCTGCAAGTGGAAACAATGACCTCTAAAACACTGAAATTATTGGAAATGGTCAATTAATGTAGACCGGTATTTCTCAGCCTTGACAACTTGAAAATATGTGGACTGTATGGCTAGTTGGGGGATTCTCAGAGCTGAAGTCCACACTTCAAGTTGCCATGGTTGAGAAACATTGCTGTAGACCAGTGTTTCTCAACCTTGGCAACTTGAAGATGTCCGGACTTCAACTCCCAGAATTCCCCAGCCAGCATTCGCNACATTTTCTAATGGTGGTGTGCCTCGTGATTTTTTTCATGAAAAAAGTGTGCCTTTGCACAAAAAAGGTTGAAAAACACTGCATTAGATGATCAATGGTGTGACCAAGTCTGAAAAAATTGACGTATAAGTCAGCCTTGCTTGTTTTCTAATAAGCATACTTATTGCTGAATATCCAGCTAATTGTTAATTTTCTATAATTTTTTTTTAGCCTGGTTGCTAATGGTGATCTTGTAAGCCCAGCAGTGCGTCTTTTCATCCCAAGGAAAGCACTAAATCAGTGGGATCGGGTTCTTGAAATGGTTACTGAGAAAGTTACACTCAGAAGTGGAGCTGTACACAGGTAAGATAAAATTGCCTAAGAGATACTGTTGTGCTTTCAGATGACTTCCTCTGAACTGTTACTCAGCAGGAACAGTTTCTAATGTGAACGTGCTGTAGAATTTTATATTTCCAACTGATTCTTTGTCACCTTTGTTACTTGATGGTAGTAAGTTCATGAAGCTTCTGTAGGTGCATTTTCAGTATTCATTTGTTTGACAGTTGCTTGGATTTCTGCTAGCAAGAAGAGTCTGTAAGTGATTTTCCTTCTCGAGAAAACCCATAGGCTTTGTGGTCATAAAGTATTTTCTGATTACAAAGGAATGGTTGACGCTAAACATATTTCAGAAGAAAGTTTTGGTAGTGATAATATTATGAAGACAAGTCTTTGCATCGAAATGGGACAACTCACTGTGGCCGATTTGTCCTGGCCGACTCACCACAGCCTACTGTTGTGGAACAATTCAACAGGGATGACTCAACTAGAATTTCAGCTCACCCCAGCCTTGAGGGCGTCTAACTAGAGAAGGTTCAAATCTAAAGCAACACAAGACCTGCTGCAATTCTCTTGTGTCTCTCTTGAATTATCCCCCATTGAATTGCCTTGTGGCGAGTTCGTTGCTTGTGTATCATCCCATAGTGATCCCAAGCATTTCAAATACTAAAAATGTAGGAATGTATTAGCTACCGTTTCATCTGGAGCTGGTTTCCCTCATAGATAGTGGGAAACCCCATGAAATTGACACTTCTTGATCATATTTGGCATGAAAAGATGATTCGGACTGTTCAAAGAGTATGCAGTATAAGAACGTGCAGGTACTTGTTTGGGGTATAAAAGCAGTATATTACCATGATTGGCTTTTTATACTTTTTATGCTTATATGATCCTTTCATTCAAAGAAAAAAAATTCTTATGAGCAATTTGCAGGAATTGGACGAAATCAAATAGAATAGATTATATCCCTAGATTCAGTGTAGCTTTTCGTTTGAGAAAATGTTTATGAAATGGACACAAATTTTCCAAGTTTATAGCAGTACAATACCTCAATTCATTTGGCATTTCTTTAGTACCACATAGAACAGGAATCTTTAACATCCTCATCCGCTTTTCATATCGCGTTTGGGATGGAAATTGTCACCCAAATTATTTATTTGGATTTATTTTACTGTATTTCTGCTTTTGGGTTTGAAGTAGTTCAAATATTATAAAAATATGTCCTTTGAGGGTTTGAGCTCGCATTTTCCTCATGAATAGAATAAACTGAGGAACACATTTATCCAAACATTTGTTAAGAACAGTGCAGCACTCTGTTGTCTCCCTCTTCTCCATTCTAGCCAAAAGAATTACATTAGACAAAGCTGAAAGTGATGTCATTTAATTAATAATTGACAATACTGATGACTGTTTTTCCTTGTGAATGCTTTCCATTATAGTGCAGTCTTTCTGCCTTTTCCTTTATATGTTACAATTTTGAGAGCTAAATTACCTTATTTCCGCAAGACTTATGATCTGATTCTCAGTTACTCATTTTTAATCTTAGAAACTGCTTTGGAAGTGATATTAATTTTGGAAGTATAGGATTATTGTATTTTAAGTAATTCTTAGGTAAGCTACTCTTAAGCAACACAAAGAATGAAAAACCTTTTTCAAATTGATACCGTAGTGCCTTCTATTGCTATTACAGTATTCTCTTTTAGTGATACTCTGAAGGATATTAATTTCGATATTACAATTAATATTTTTTTTTAGAATTGCTAACTCAATTCAAATCACTCCCTTTGTTTGTGGGAAAATTGTCACAAATGGCAATCCCATGACTCTGGGATGCTGTGATGTTATAATTGAAAGCTGGTTGCCGAGCACCTGAATTCCAATCAGATGAGTGCACAGGGATGCTGCAACAGCCACAGCTATGAAGATCTGTCATAGCAGCCCTCATTCAGTGCCACTGCTTTGTGAGAAAATGTCAGGGAACATTGTAAATGAGGATCACGTGACTATGGCAGTGGTGCTGAATGCAGTATGAAATGGCAAGAACTTTTCAAAATTTCATTTCCATGGGAATAATGGATCCCAGCATTCTGCAAGTTAGCCCATTTGAGGTACCTTGGTTAAATTTTTGCCCTATGGTGCACTGTTTTGCCCAGTTAAAGGTTTCAGATGTAAGAGTTTTAGTAGTGTGCAGATATTTCAACAGTGCATTGTGCTTATTTATTTGGCTTTCCTAGTTTTCTCTAAATCAAGTTTTTGTAAGAGAGAGCACACTCAAGCTACTAAAATGTATTACCGTTTAATAATTAACAGGTTGGTTACTGTGATTTACGGTAACAAGACTCCATTAATCAAAATTCCAGTCAAGACTGTTAATTCTGATAAAGACAAAACTCTGGGGTAAATGAATGGGCAATTAATTTTTCAGCACAGCAACAATACTGGTTCTTTTCCCCCTCTCAGTTACGCCCATCATTTATAGGATTAGTGATATTATTCCTTGTGTATGAAAACAAACCACCAATTCACCTCATTTTTAACAGCTCCTTAAGCTAAAGATAGGATCAGAAAATTAATTGCTGTTAATCCCCATCTCCAGTAGCACAAATAATTGAGCCTGTCTAATTGAAATATATTAGATTTGGAAACGAAGACAGAAATCCACTTATTTTATTTGCAAATAAAAACTACATGAGCTAGGGTGTTCAAAGGAGGTGGTGTAGGAAAACAGGAGCGTCTCTATGTTGCTTGTCAAACCCTCCAGATTCTGTTTGCTGAAATCCGCTAGAATTGCCAATTTTTAGCATAGGTTTTTTTCAGTTTTAAAAGGTAAATGCATTTTTTTTTCTTAAACTAAGCGCTAAAATAATACAGAAGCAATAAAAAGGGCAGACTTTTGTATACTGACCTCTGAGTCAACATAATTGTATCATTATCATTGTGACCATAGAAGACTAAAACAAAACAAAACAGAATTTTTAAAAAGTGATTCCTGACTACAAAAATGTCATTTGCCTGTGATGTAGGAATGACGCTGGCATAGTATCAGAGACACATACAGTAATGCCAAAATTCTTTTTTTTTTAAGATACAGAGCCCTAGAGCTATCTGTCAAAGGTATCTGTTACCTCTTCTGGCTTTCCTTAATGTTTTCTTTTCTTCATTTAAAAAAAGATGGAAACAATAGTAAGGAAATATACAATAAAGTTATACGTGGTCTTTCCTTCTCCAAATAATATTTTGTGAATAGCTTAGAGGCGTGATGCCGAACCTATGATACCTGCGCCGTCACCCCAGCTCAGTCAGCTGGTCATTGATTTCCGAGAGGCACATGTGCACCAGCCAGCTGGTCGTTGGGTTTCCGGTGTTCTGGTGCATGCGCACGCTTTCCAGCTTGGGCACTCTGTGCCTGAAAGGTTTGCCATTACTGGCATAGAGGAATTGGACAATAAAAGACTTATGTGGAAGCACATTAAGGCTCATATCATTCCTTTTTTCCCCCCATGACTTTTGAGATCCAGTTGAAAAACCAATGATAATCCCCATCATAAATATTATTCTGCTGCACAGCTGTAATTCATGGAAGAGTAATTCTACATCATTGGTGTGTTAAAATCACAGCACTGGGAAATTAGCTAAATCTGTTTTTTTTAAAAATAGGTACTGTATCAAGCCTGTTTGGTAAATTCTGTCCATGCTACATATATTTATTTTAGAATATCATGGTGAATTTCAGTCAGCTAGCACCATACAGGAAGCATTTCTGAGACCTTCTAAGATGAATATTAGTTTTGAATATCAAAATGTAGTTCTGCTAAGTATACAATAGCTGAATAAGCTAAATAAGGTTATTTATGAAAATTATGGAAAGCTCAAATATTTAATATTTGTGTTCCATTTAACAAATCTGCTACTAGGTATTCCATATAAATCTAGAAATGTATGTTGCTTTAGGGTTTTTGTTTTGTTTTGTGTTTTTGAAAAGCTTAAACATTTTTGAAGCTGCAAAACGTGGGAAAATTTAAATATATCAAGGACCAGTATGAAGATCCGTGGAAGAACTCTTGTCTGTGTACTTACCCTGAAACTGTGCTTGATCCTTAAATACTACTTCATCCGCAGAAAAATTTGAGGGTTTGATTTGTAGCTTTATAGTTCATCTTTGAACTACCATAACTATCAATATTTTGAATAATTCTGTAAATAAGCTGGCCTGATATCCCATCTAGTGGCTATTGTTAGCGGTGCAGATATGAAACAATTCTCAAGATGTAGATGATGCAGGAGTAGCTTTTTTGGGTATAAGGCATGCTATTAAATATGTATTTTTGTTAGCTATAATTTAGGGTGTGTGTACATGTATGTATGTGTGTCTGGGTGTCTTCAAGTCAGTGTTGACACCTGGTGACAAATTCCCGCTGTTTTCCTGGCAGGGTTTCAGAAGTGGGTTTCCATTCTCTGCTTTCCAGGGCTGAGAAAGAATGACTGGCTGAAGGCCACCCAGTTGGCTTCATGCCTAGGATGGGACTAGAACTCAGTGTCTTCCAGTTTTCTAGTCCAATGCCTTAACCACAGCACCAAATTTGCTCTCAATTTGAGTAATACTAAAGTGTTAAAATCAAGACTGCCTGTGTGCTAGTATTTTAGTACAATAAGAAATCATGTTTTCTGGTGCTTCAACTTGAAAAAAAACAATGCTTATTACTAACTTCAAGACAGTTTCAAATCTGTTATCCTGGCCAACATAGTTGAGAGAGTGGCCAGGAACGGTTTAAAATACTTCTGCATTGAACAGATTATTAATGTCTAGCTTTGGTCTGCATCATAGCACAGATGGGACACTGGTCACTCTTATGGATGACCTGCTAAAGAAGCATGATAGGAGTAACTTGTACCCAGTTGTGCTCCTAAAAATCGCAGTGGCCAGGGTATCCTCTTTAGTGCCCTCATGTTGGAGATATGAATTCAACAGGAATCTTTGTTAGAAGATATGTTCCTCTCATAACCAAATGCCGAATATATTTCACGTATTTATAGTAAAAGCTTTATCAAGAAATACACAAAGATAGAAACTTGCTTTTATTTAACCTATATCCAGAAGAGAGAGAAGACAACAATTAAATCTGAAGTGCAAAAGAATTCCCTTGCCTCTTAGAGATCCATTTAATTAACAATAAGGGTAGGTGGGAATAACTGGGACAGTTATGTGAAGAATGTTCTCCTTATCCCCATCTCCCTCCCCCATCTTATCCTTTGTAAGCTGGATGAATTATGATAAAGGGGCATGATAATGGATTGAAACTATTTAAAGTAGTCTGATGCTTGGGGTTGGGAGAGGTGTCAATCAAGCTGAAGGGATTTCTGTCAAACAAGGCTGTTTTTCTGAAGGTCAGATCTGCAGTTTAAGGAAGCTCCTTGGCCCTATTCTGATCCTGAATGTTTTGGTCAGCATAGTAGTTCCTAATTCTATCTGCAGATAATTACTAGCCGTATCCCTCTTTGTGAGATCTGACCTGGTTCCTTGATTATTGCAAAGGCTCCAGATAGAAATAGCCTTGAAAAAAGGTTTGTTAAACTTTTATTTGGTAAGTCCCTAAAGGAGCATGCATTATTTGTTTTGGTTGAACTGCATAGGTTTCCTGTTTGTTCCCAAGTTAAATTCAATGTTTTTGTTACTACATTTAAACCCCTAGACCTCTTCAACATAATGGAACATCTTCTCTGTATCCTGCTACTTGAGCATCACATTCTGCTGTTGTAGCTAAATGTCTATGGAGATTCTCAGTCATCCATTTCATGGTTGTGTCAAAAGTGCTTTTTCAAAAGGCAACTGGACTTCCTTGTTTTTCTTTGCAGATGTNCTCTTTATTTTTGTAAGCCGCCCGGAGTCCTTCGGGATTGGGCGGCATATAAATGTGGTTAATTACATTAAATTAAATTTGAGTTCTTCTAAATGTGTGTTTGTGTCATCAGCGATGTTATTCTATCCACTTTGCCTTCTTGAGGCTTCTGTGGGGCAAGCCTGAGAGAGAGAAGGGGAGAGGAGAGGATCAATGGGGCCAGCCTGAGGGAGAAAAGGTGGATAGGAGAGGAGAGGCTTCTGTGGGGCAAGCCTAAGGAAAGAAGGGGAGAGGAAAGATCGGACGTAACTACTCATTAATTTTCAAGCTGTAAATGTCGATTTATCAGGCCCGATCACATAGTTTCATAGCAGAGCACGGGTATTCAGCTAGTTTTTAATATGTAGAAGTGTCACACATGGAATATCTTAACAGGTAAATCTTTACATTGATAAACTGTTAATATGTGTGTTATTTCCGTGAGTTACCATGTTAGTATACTGTATCTGAAGTACAATTTTGAAGAAGAAACAGCTTCAAGTTACCTTTTCATTATTAATGGTGGTATGATTATAATGCAAAAGATAACGAATGAGATATCATTTAGATGCAATGCAATCATTTCACCACACAGTGTCACAAAATTGACACGGCTTCTTTCCACTTCAGATGACGGTGTTTACAAAGCTGGAAAAAAGCGATCTGAAATGCGAGGGGCAGCAGAAGTCCAAGAAGATGAAGACACTCAAATTGAGGTCCCTGTAGACCAGGTAATCTCAAAAGTTTTGATAAACACCCAAATTTTAAACAGGTTTGCACTTTCACATCATATTGCATGCTTTGGATGTGTATTACTGTGAAGGCTGCTGAATTCTAGGAAAAAGATAGGGAAGCTAGGCAGTAAGTCTTCTTTAATGCAAGGAATGCAGAAGAGAAAATACAGCTTCTAAAAGAACCACTTTTTGATGCAGCATTAGAAGAAAAGATTTGCCTGAATTTTTTATTTTGGCAGATTTATATAGAAGAAGAGAAAGCAGAGCTGAGAGGCAGAGTTAAGCATCATCTTAAAAATTATTACATTCCCACAAGTAGTTCCCCCTTGAATACTGTTGACCCTTAATCTGCCTCCAACTTAATGGATGGTTCTAATCCTTTGCACCTAAATTAATGTTAAGTTGCAGCATAGAAGATTTATTTAAATTGATGACATGCTTAACTCTGTCCTCCAGCTCTGCCAGTTCTTCTCCTACAATTTATTAGCTACCTTAGGTGACATAGACCTTCTTCTGGATAACTTTGGACAGATTAAATTTGATCACTTGAGGTTTGAGTAATTTTTTTTAACATAAAAGGTACAGCAAATTTGTAGAATTGAAAATTGATCTTTCCCTCTTAAATAAGTAATAAGTATATATATATAGTATTTGTGCTGATAAATAATAAAGGGAGACTAGTATAGATCTATTTCAAGCTATTTAGCTCTCATCAGCTAGCCATACCCTTACTGGGATTAGAACCTGTGCTGTATTACATCTTACGCAATTGCCCAAATATGGTATGCCCAAATATGGGAGGAGGCCTACTGCTTCCTTTCTCTGTCTATTGGCTCATCACAAGAGACCATTCAGACAGAAAGACATTATTTTTACTGTTACCTTTGTTACATTTGTGTTGTATTTGTGCTGATAAATAAAGGGAGACTAGTATAGATCTATTTCAAGCTATTTAGCTCTCATCAGCTAGCCATACCCTTACTGGGATTAGAACCTGTGCTGTATTACATCTTACGCAATTGCCCAAATATGGTATGCCCAATTATGGGAGGAGGCCTACTGCTTCCTTTCTCTGTCTATTGGCTCATC